TATAAACCAACTCTGAAGTGGAAACAATGTATTAACAAGTCCTCCAGTATATAATAGAATCCTCTACTAGAAGATCAGGTGTTCAACTCAAGAGAGAGTAGCCTGAATTAATAGCTTCATTGTGCCTTCTCTGCTTGAATATTATAAACAAGTCTTGTTTTCCTACATACATCCAACCTCTCTAAAGCCCTGTTTCATTTAATCTCCAACTTACATAACACTTATACTCTCCTGCTCTCTCTGATCTTATCTATAATGGATTTGTAGCTGGTCTGATCTCTAATCCATATTTATGGAATAAGCATAAATCCAGGTTATGCGGCACAGTGGATGCCTGTAAGGCGATGCTGTTTTTTTTACAATTTATAAGTCTAGGTTTTTTATATTATGGGAAACTGAATGGCCTTTTCAATCACTGTCGATCTGCTCCTCTTACTGCCTTTTTTAGAAAGCGGAATGCTTGCCTTGATTTATTAACAATACATGGCACTTTTCTAGTCATGTCTTGCATTCATTGCTAAATTCTGATTAACGTTAATGGAGATGCATTAGGTAGCTCAGAATGCAGTCCTGTACAGACATATTTTACTAAATACTTGATTTCTTATTATAACAGAATAGTACGCTTCAATGTATATCCTGGGATTTTGTTTTACACCTTTTACAGAGTTTTATAATTGTGTTATAGAACAATTCATTCATGGTATAAAAACAGTACAGACCATTATAATTCTGGCTGTTTCTTTTTGACAAAGCAAAGCCTAAAATGCACCTAGTGTGTATGCAAAACAAACTGCAGATTTATTTTAGAAGGTAGCAAAATGATAATGTATTTAAAAATTCTGAAAACCCTACTTGATTCTAATCAAGCAGAATCTGGGCTCTTTTATAGTAGTAAGTAGACCAGTATCAAAACAGATTATGCGAACTCTGCCAAACAGTAGCATCACTTTTGAGGTACAGACACTTATTGGTTTCCTGAACATTAGTATTTCATGCCCTATGGCTGTGATCACATGATTAGTGCTTCGACACAGCACTCTTTAGAAGGGTTCTACAAAATGTGTCCTTTTTCAACAGCTTTAATGCATTTAAATACATCACATTGAATTTTAAATTAAATCTGCAGTCTATCTTGTGTATAGGTATACTTTAAGATAAAAAGTATTGAAAGGGTGCAAACAAATGCCCATAATTTCAGGTGAGTCTACATACTGATATAATGTAATTAAGATGCTTAATTTGACACCAAAACATTAATAGAGTATTAACAATGTGCAGAGTACTATGCCTTTTTACTTCACAAAAGGCAACACGGCTGAACTGTGTTTATCTTCCTTATTTAAACAGTGCCACTGCCACATGATATGTGGCACTATACTCATCTCACACTTGAACTTCTTCCCATGGTGCCTTGGTTCTTGTAGTGTTTGCTTTGCTTCACACAGTTTTTTCAAGTCTACTACCTTCCCTGGTCAAATTTATTGTGCTAAACTAAGTTTCAGCAAAATAAATCCACTAAAATGGGCACTAGACGATCCATAAATACAGAAAAATAATGTGATGCAACCATAAAGGTGACAAAACTATTTTTTTCTAAAAGGAAAAAGTCTTGCAAATTAAAGGCTCAAAATATTAATTTTAAAGGGGATTTATTTAATACATTATTAAATACAATGCATCCAGAAATGTTTTTTGCCTTCTATGGTGAATTACATTGAAAATAGAAACTCGGGCTATGAAATAACTGCCCCTTAAGCTAAATTGCAATATCATTTAAGGTTTAATGTGTACAAAGTTTTGGAGCTTAGCAGAATTGCACATAACTCAGATAGGAGAGAGCTAATTGATTAATCCTGGCATGACCAGAGGTCATCGATGGCTAGATGCTCAGGCCAAATTTAGCAGTGTCAGCATGCATCGTTAACTTGACAATGACTCTATAACTAGTTTGCATACCTAAATATTTTTTTAAAAGCTTCTAAGGCTAATTTTGTCCTCTGTAATTTATTTTATTTTTAATCCCTTAGTGACCAGTGACATCCATAGTACGTCACTGGCACTGAGCCCGTTTAAACAGACTCCCGGCAGCTAAAGACTGTCACCCCTGCCATGTTTCCCAGGCTCCGTTGCCCTCCTACGGGCCCAAGACCAGCTTCTCTGGTGTCGGGGGGGGGGGGGGGGGGGCGGGGA